TATTTGAGGGAAAGGCATGGACAGTATAATTTTGAGCCCATGTATTGTTTGAATGGGGAAGTGCTGTGTAACTATATGCTTTTTAAAAAACTTTGTATGTATTATTTTATAAAACAAAATATATTTTAAATTGCTCGCTAGATAGAAATTGAACCATTTCAGTCCTATCATCTCTACTTCTAAGAAGAAATGCCTGAGTGGCAACAGTTTCACCCAGCAGAGGGGAATCTGTGACCCTCTTAGATATTTGAGACTTCAACTCCCATCAGCCTCACCCACAATGGGCAATGGCAAGGGAGTATAACAGTTGAAGTATAACTATCTTAACAATAGTAGTCCACAGTGATTAACAAGACTGTTGTTTTATTACAATAATGGTTTTACTTGAAACAGTATTTCACATGTTAAATAAAGGGTTTGTAAAAACAACAAGACTGTTATGTGACAAGTGTAGTAGGCACTCTGCGAACAGTTCACACTGCAAAGGAGAAAAATGGTGGCTGAAATCCTCTATGGTTGCATCTTTGTAATTGGATTTACATGTGTTGCAAGAATTAGAATGGCAAAGATGTGCAATATCCATCTCCAGTAGAGGGCTGCTGTTATGTAACTACTGGTATGTCACAGAGCCAGCAAAGGGATGATGCACAATGGGATTGATGTGCATCGCATCACGCATCGCTGTGCATCGGGCACTCTTGCTGGTGTCCTGTTATCTTCACAATTCACTAAGGGATTTTTAGCACCTCTGCTACATAGTTAACTGTACACAAATTTACATTGAGTAAAAAGATCATGTAGGGTTCTGGTGTGTGTGTGTTGTTTGCCTTCATGTTGTTTCTCACTTATGGCAACTCATAAGCAAACCTATCATGGGGTTTTCTTGGAAAGTTTGTGTGGTGTGTGTTTTGGGGGTTTGCCATTCTCATCCTCTTGAATCTGAGGGAGTGTGACTTGCCCAAGGTCACCCAGTGTATTTTCAACTAATTTTAAATATTTGGGGACATTAACTATACATAAAACACAACACTCTGCCCACCATCTTACAGTGAGGATCCCATCCAGTATGGCTCTGGGACTGATACAGTGCTTATCAGACCAGTTTGGGTATTTAGGTGCTTGTGTCTTGCCAGCACAGGCACTTGTAAAATTCAGAATACTTGTTGGGTTGTTTTTTGGTTTTTTTGTTTTGTTTTGTTTTTGTTTTTTTGCACTACTCTGTGGTAATTCTCTGCTGCATTTTCTGTTAGGGGTGCCAAACTACCTTTTTGAGTGGATTTCTATATGCATGTTGATTCAAAATTATGAAAAGCATGAGAGTCAATATTCTTAGTTAAACTTGTGCGACCTAGATCTTTATAGATGCATACCAAGAGTAAAAATTAATTTCCAAATTGTAATCTGATTCCCTGATCTTGGCAGAAATCATTAGGCTATCACTAAGTACTAATAACATGTTCAAACTTTACCTAGATCTTCCTTAGTCATTTTTCATGTGTCTTTCTGCAGTCCATGCCTGTAAGTAAGCATCATGGTGTCATATCTTCTGTATGTCATCTTAGTAGTTGAAGAATGGGCACGTGTCTTCATATTCAGTCCTCATAGGTAACCGTTTGCAGAGGGTCGTGTTAGTCTGTTGCAGCGAAGCTGTAAAAGATGCCTTGTGATATCTTTTAAATGAACCCTGTTTATTACGGCATAAGCTTTTGTAAATCCATCAGAAGCATGGAATGTCACTCTGAGTTGGAAAATATATATAGATACATAGGGTAGGAAGAAGAAAGACTTGTTAGTGATGTCAGAATGAAATGCACAAAAAAATCAGTCAGTGATAATGATATTAATGTTCAGATGTTCCTAATACACAGTACTTGCAATGACCATTCACAAAGTTTGGGGTTATACATTGAAGCACCAATAACTTTTCCTATGAGAAAGTTATGCATCCATGCAATCCTGTGCATGTGTTCTCAGATTTAATGGAACCTACACACATATAATGTGCAGAGGCTGGTGGTTATAGGAAAGGTTGTCAGGGTAAACTAAATATGTTGCCCTCCTGCCCTAGAAGCATTTGCGTGGTTCACCAAACTCTTTTCAACATGGACTGGCACAGAATCTGACAGTCCTTTCAAAACTGAAGAAACATGGCACACTAGAAAGAAGAGTTAA